CTGATATTTTGGAGGAACATGATGTTTCCATCTCTAGGACCGAAGATAAGCCAAACCAAGTAACCACTCTGAAGCAGACAGCAAGTTCTGCTGAATGGAAGGTGATATTTTCCTCTGAAATGTCACTTGACTTTCGATGTACAGTAAAACTTGGTTATAGCAACATCGGTTTCTGCGACACCTTGTCTATTGCATCAAATATTCAATGGTACGAACTAATTCCTCATAAAGCAACTGTTTTTATACCTTGCTTAGTACGACATGCACAAATGCATCAACCTCGTATGTAACGTCATTTTCATTCCTGAATTTCTCTGATATTGTGGGAAAGTTCGATGTGTCTGCCCACCCTCACTTTCTCTACTTGCTGACGTGACTGTCCTGGAAGAATACGACCGCGGGCTGCAAGAGGAGCGTGGGTTTTATGCGAAAACAAGGGTGTGGGGTGGGACTGCGTGAATAGTGCAAGAGGACGCGGCAGGTTGTTAACTGCATTCCTTTCCTAGAATCTCGTCTAACAGGACCTCACATTGTCTACTTACCCTATAGTGTTCCTGCCTAAACCCAGAGAAGTGCAGTAGCGAAAACATGGCAATGAAAAGGAAAGTTTTAAGCATTGAAGAGAAAGTTAAAGTGATTCGTGAAATATTGTGTGTATTGTCAGTGAAAAGCGCTGTAATATGTCTTTGATATTACACATTTGGGCAATTCCACGTTAATGTTACGTTAGTCTGTACTTAACTATGTATTTCACTAAAAAATGCAACATTTTAACTCGGTTTTTGGTAGATTTTTATGTGACTAACATAAGGCTACTGTGGAAGTGCCCATTTCAGTTACAACGACATTCGTTTATAACGACACTATTTTTAGGTCCCTTTGATGACGTTATAACCAAGTTCTACTGTACTTACTACAATGCATGACATTCCAGAAGACAGAACTCTTCAAACTACATTTTGTCACTGATCAGTATGCCATATGCACTTAGTATTAGTGTAGTGGTATTTGAAAAGAAAGTACCACAAATTTTAAATTACCCTATATTTTTAACAATAAATAAATTTGGTATTATTGGTGATATATTATATTCTCATAGTGACAAACACTGATTGCTCAATTCTCTGACTCAGCTTTGATTCCAGTGAATATAAAAATTCTGATATTAAATAAACCACAAATTAAAATCTTATAAAATATAAAAATTTCTGTGTAGGCTGATATATGGAACAGCTGTCCTACACTGAGGAATTATTCCCTGAAGGCAAGTTAGGGCAAAATTAAAAGTAAAGTTACTCCTGTGCTTAACTGCCACCCCCATGAACATGAATGGCAGAGTGGAGGTATAAATCCACACATTCTCAACCTTGGAAATAAATGGAGATGAAAAGCCAGCTTCACCCCTGCTTACACATCAGATGGGACACTGGGCAGATTCCAGAGCCAGTCTATAGACACTATGGAAATGAGAAAATCCTCTTACCCTTTTTGGGAATCAAATCTCTGATTGCTGAACCATCCAGCCCATGGTTTTGTCACTAACCTGACTGAACTGAGTAAAGCTTTGTAATTATAAGCTTTACCTTGGCACTAGATGGCAGTGAGTGGTCAGCCTCACCTTCCAATCATTTTACCCCTAGCAAAAGAACTGCAGACACCTGTTCAACAGGATGCTGCATCAGCCTCAGTGGGTCAGAACACAGTGATGAAAACAAATATCCTTACCTGTGCCTCAAATGAAATCCCAGCAAACCATCCAGTAAACAGTTGTTCACCAAGCTATCATGGCATGCAAAATTGTTAATTTTGTAACTCAAAACATTCTGTTTAATGCAGAGTAATTTTTCTATTTTAGACTAGAAATATAAATTTTTTATTCAGGATATGGTTGCTTCCTTTGTCAATGTCACTATATATAGTAACCAAAAGGGATAACATTCTAAAAAATAGCAGTCTATTCATGTAATTAAAAAGACAATGGGAATGAACACACAGATCACATCCAAGAACTCCACTGCAATACCTGTACATCATCTTAACAGCTTTGACTACCATACATATTAGCAGAAATAAAGAGTTTTCAAAACATATTCAGGTCTACAACAGAAAACAAAACATATTTTTATTTATACCAGATATACACTTCAAATATTTGGGCAATGATATCATTCAGTTCAAAACCTTCTGTCTTCTTGTCTGTTGTCTAAAATGTAAAAATGTTCTTGATTTTGCCTGCAGTTTCATATGGGTGGGGAACTTCGTCTCTGACATCACAGGAAGAACACAGACTGCAGATATTTGAGAACAGGATGTTGAAGAGAATATTTGGACCCAAGAGGGATGAACTAATAAGTTGGAGAAAACTGCATAATGAGGAACTTCATAACTTGTATGTACTCTTCACCAAATATAATTAGAATAATGAAGTCAAGGAAGATGAGCTGGGCAGGACATGCAGCAGGTATGGGGACAAGAGGAATTCCAGAAAGAAAGATCCCACTAAGAAAATCTAGACATAGTTGGGAGGATATCACTAACACATTCAGGACCGGAGGGGCCAATTGGCCCTCTACGTTTCTATAGCGTTGCGGACCGGGTGGGCCAATTGGCCCTTTTCTGACGCATTATGTTGCAACCGACTATATCTCATTGTGTGGCCACGTTGCATCATAACTACTGCGTAGTTGACCTCGGGAATGTTTGCTAGCTTAGCCAGTAACATGGTCACGCTCATTTCCTGTCACACCCTAAAGAAAGAAGCCTTTGTTCGAGTCCAAACTTCCACGTATGAACCAGGAAGTTAGAAGTGCAACATGGATCAGAGATGAAAGCAGTTGCAGGTGAAGCGTTCTCTTGGAGAACAAGAAATATTAGATTTGTTCTCCGATGAGCTATCAGATTTGCCAACTGCTTCGTCTTGTGATAGTGAGGCCAGCCTCAGTGAAAGTGACAGTGACAGGGGCCACAGGATCCCCCAAAATATTGTGTGGCTTATAAACTGTGCACTTTTCAATTAATTTTCGGTTTTCAACAAGTTGAACAGAAATTCTACTTTGAAATACAAAGCATTTCTGTTGAACTTGGCAAAAGCTTCGGCTACTGACCTCACGGTGGTGGCAGTACCTGCGTCAGACACAGACATAGTGCAGCCTGGGCCATCTGTTCGCACACGCCGGAGGCCTCATGTGGACCCCCTGGACGACTCTCGGGTGATATGCGGAAACATACCCTCGTGACAATTGTGAAGATTGAACATTGCAAGAAGAAATAGCCATCTAGGCAGTGCCGTGTGTGTGCAGTCCACAAGAAGAAGAGTAGGACTGTGTAGATCTGCAACTTCTGCATGATGCCTCTTCACAAAGGGGAATCTTTCCAGAGATATCACATGCGCAAGCACTTCTAGGAGCTCTGGTAAGTGTTCTCCAAAAATTTTAGTTCATAAAATTAATTACGAGATTTTATATTAATTTTTAAAGTGAACAGTGCACAAGTTAGGGTGCTAGGCTTAAAAACCCCGGTCCCCAGGGTGATTTAAATATTTAAACAATTGGTCCGCAATGTGTTAAGATGGACTTCAGAAAAATGTGATTGACTGGTATGAACTGGATTCATCAGGCTCAGGATAGGGACCAATGGATGGCTCTTGGACACATTAATGAAATTTTGGGTTCCATAAAATGTTGGGACATTCTTGGGCAACTGAGCAACTGGCAGCTTCTGAAGGACTCAGCTCCATGGAGTTAGTTACTAGATATACACATATCAAACAACCAAGAATACAATATATGTAGAGCATGTAATGCATGCCTCATATTTGCCGAACTCCACTGATAGATCTAATCACATATACAAGCGAATCTTTGAAATGATTGTTAGGCATTGTCTGGTAACCCTGTATACAGTAAGGTGGCGGCTTCCCTGTACAGTGACAACATACACCTGTTGCTAGACTTAGTATGAACTGTTTTAACCACTCAGCCCCAGTTCCCCCAGTCAATTAGTCACTGAATTTCGGTTGTATTTATGGTTCCAAGACCTAACAAAAATAATTTTATCATTATAGATGTAACTACATTTAAGTCAATGAAAGAACTGGTAGATTTAGTGCTATCCATCTGCCTAGCAGTTACCTCCCTCACTGGGCATTCTCTACTCCCAGCATATACACGATATTCAGTGTAGGCTGGGTAGAGAAGTGGGGTGCATCCATAGATTCTTTTGCTGACACTACTGTAGTCACACATTGAAATATAAAACCGGCTAAACATGCACGAACCCAACCTTCTAATGTCCATAAAATTAAGTTTTGTGTAATATTTTATTACACTAAACGACTATGCATTGTCAAAAATACAAGCTTACAAATCATAATCGTCGCTTACATGGAACAGTGCTAGGATTCACAGGCACTACTGAGAGTTCTTCTGCTGATAGGAAGCCAGAACATTTGTTTACAAAACCTATGTTTTAGCCATTTAAGAATATATCCATGAAAACCCTTCAGTTTTTAGAAAAACAAAAGTCTTTTAAAAATAATTATTTCTGGCATTATTTGGCAGCCTCCTCCTTTTTTTTTTAATTTGATTTCCTTTCAAACATTTATGGGGACGGGGCAGATGCCTCGCTTGCCCCCCCCTTTTTCACCGGCGCCATGCTGGGATCTGCCCTATTTGTTCAACGTCCTTAAAGCATGTTATGTCCTATCAGCAAAATCTAAGATTACAAACCTTAACATATAACATAACAGACCAACAAATTACGTCTAAAATTTGCGCACCATATTTCTAACTAAGGCTTCAAACTGCACTATGCCGAACAAAACCTCTATCTAATCCTCAGCCTCGTTAACTGAGGTTGACAAGGGCAAAAATGACTTCAATGGAACTTAAAATTATATAAAGCAATAATCTACTAATAGCTTTACAATGCGCAAAAATCTTCTTATTACGAGCTGGAAATGTAAGCTATTATCACATATATGTTACGTTTTACATTCTCACCGGATGCTAAAAGCTCCCCTTTATTTGAAAACTCGATGGCGTTTACACAACCATAGTGTGCTAGTAGATCCTTCCTATATAAATTACGTGCTGAATACAGCCTTTCTCGCAACAACTGCTTATTGATATGAAGTCGCTCATTATACTGTCTCCTGACAAGATATCCTAAAGGATTCGCTGGAGAAGGGCTGGCCATGGCGAAATAATTTACTTTCGATAACTTCTCCGCACCACTATAGCTCGCCCTCCCTTTCACGTCCACTTTCAATCAGCTGCAAAGAGCTACATTTGATTGCAAATTCATCTAGAAACGTAACCACAGTAACGCCAAGAAGTACCGTCATGTGCAGCCGATCGCACACTGAATAAACTTCCTGGAGGCTGTTCACTGTTGGCTTACTCCCAACCCTCCCAACACCATCGCATTTGCTTCCCTCTGTTCGGTGTCTGCTCGATTGGTTCCTTCGCTGGAACTGGTCCTTTCCCGTTAAGAATAGAACAGTTTAGCTTTAGAGTAGACCTATGATTACTGGGACATAAGAATATCTCTAATTATTTGGCACGGAATTTTCATGTTCAAGCTAAGCACCAAAGTATCAATGTAAAACTAAAAAAAAGAACTACATATTTATTTTCGGCACGAGAAATTCAGCCGCTTTCAAATAAAGAATGGATGCCTTGTAAATATGAATCATATTCAAGTTCATTGCTATAAGATTCCTCACAAATGTTTTTGCTTATCCGGTCTTACACGTCACCTGTTACACTAACTAGTTCTCACAATTTTTTTCAACCTTGACGATATGATTTATAGGACTCTGCGTTCTTTGCCCTGCCGTGTTTGACTAACAAGATTCCTCCATTGAAAAGACGGATAGTGGCTGTTTCTTATTTTGAACGAGACTATCAGCAATGCATGTGTGTTGTTTAGCTAAATTAAACTGTGATTATTAATTCATTCTTTCTATTTTGCAGTAACAAAGAAATATTTCTTTCAGAACTAGATAACTTGCAAAGATATGTATCTCAAATACAAGTACAGCATCTCTTTAACGGAGCTAATGGCCGAACTGCAGCACTTCTGTTACTAACTTATCAGAATAATCTTTAAAGCACGTACATTTGTTTTAATTTTTTTAATTTTGTTAATGATATGGTTAAACTTAGAAATAAGCAGACTTAAAAATTATACATGAAGAATGAATTAATGGAAAGCAGTCATAACTGCAGTGCTTGTCACAAGAGAGGAAGCTAGACGGGATGGATAGGCATAGATATGAGCCCATAAATTGGCTGAATTTATAATAGAATTTAAATTCGAAGATTCTGGGATAGGGCACCTTGTAGTCCAGTAGAAGTTAACCGACGTTTCGGAAGAATATACTAACTCCATGCTTACTTACGATTTTGCAAAGACTTTAAGGAAAACGTTCTTTAGCCTTATAACTTAATTTTCATTTTTTTATCAATATCAAAATTGGCCAATTAATGTTGACATTGCTTATATTCGAGCGCCTTGCCTATTTCATGTGGCTAGCCCTAACATTTTTAATTAGTGTGCGACCAGTTGTATGCGTTTAATTTGGATATAATCATACTAGATGGCAGTGATTTACATTGCAATGAAATACTTGTTGAACTGTATATGACACTCATTGAAACCTCAAACGACCAATAGCATTATGTGAACTCTAATTATTAATCTCTTGTTTTATATGACAACAAATTTGTGTCAAATATTTAAATATCTCGTACTTATTTATTATGACTAGAAAATATTTCCGATCTTTTCACTTACCGTTTGCTGTTTATATGTTTCGCAATGTTAATTTGTTATGTTGGTAACGGAATGGGTGAAGAAGCCAATGAAAATAAAGGGAGCTGAATTTTGAATACGGGTCATGATAGTTTTCGTGCTGGACTGTTCGTATTTAAATTATAGTTTTCAGTTAACTTAATTACTCAGGATGAGTAAAAATAGGACACATACTCGCAGTATGGTGTAAGTATCCAAAGATATATATATATATATTTATATATGTCCTTACGCTAAGTAAAGTTATATATTTGTTTTGTTAACGATATTTTGATCCATTTTGATGAACGTGTTAAGTTTAATATCATGTATAATGGCAAATTTGATGATTTTATTCAAGTAGCCCAACATTACAGGAGGTAGTAAGAATGTTCATTTGCCGTATTTATGTGATCCGAATTGTTTTAAGGCACAAACGAAGTATAATTATGTTGCAGGAATGTTCTGTGACCTTGATAAATTTTGACTGTTAATCACAGAATATTACTCAAAATTATTTTATGGGTTATGTTGGGAATGTTCAGAACCATATCTTACAAACAGGAGATAGAGAGCTGTAATAAAATTTGACATACATGTTAACGTTTCTTCAAATTACGATAGAGTACAAAATGGAATCTCATAAGGCTCAGTAGTAGGTCCTGTCCATTTTCTAGGGATATTAATGACCTTTCACCCACATAAATGTTTTATCATGATGATACTAGTAAAATACCATGTGTACGATACATATTTATTGTCACGTGCCGCCTAAGGCCGGAATATTTGGAATCAGAATGCATCCATTGCTATACAATGGCCAGCAATTCCTAGGCAGCAAAGCCTAGGAAATCGTTGCCTGGGAAATGAAAGTCTAACAGCAGGGTTTCCACCATTACAAACGAATTGCTTGAGGCAGACACATATTCCCGCAGCAACGAATTGTTTGAAGCAGCATTTGTGTAGCACCGGGCGAAATTAACCCTTCGACAAGGTATTCCATATTCAGTCCGAGTGCACATTATAACAATCCAGCATTGGCCAGAGACCAGTAGAGTTCTTATCTGACTAGTACAGGAGTGAGTACTTATCCGACAAGGGACCAAGGACAGTTGAGCTCCGAGCAGAAGACACTTCCCCGAGAATAGCGGTGCAAGAGTGTTGTAACATTGAAGAAGAAACGTCTGACGATGATACAAGTTGAGAATAATTGTAAGTGTGAGTGTAAAAAGTGACTGTCAAATAAATATTTGTTCAAATCCGAGAACCCACGCAATTTATTGTCGCATTGCCTAGCAAACACATGACAGTATTATATATCAATGCCCCTGGGGACTGTTTTTGTTGGCTTCCATTCCTTTACCTAGAAGAGTCTCAGAATGGGTTTCATTTGAACAATCTTCATTTCAATTTATGTGTTGCAGATTGTAAAAAACATAAAAATTTATATTGCACCAATTTTTTAAATAGCCTGTGTAGGAATGCAATACTGAAGTGGGTCTTAAAGAAACAGGGATTGATTCAGGCTCAGGGTAGGTTCTAGATGCAGGTTGTTGTGAATGTGGCAGTATACTTTTATGTACCATTTCTTGATCAGGTGAGCTATTATCAGCTTCTTAAAACTATGGAACTTCAATTTTCTTGTCACTAAACAGGTCAGTCAAGAGGTACCACTCTAGATGGTATTCGAGAGGTGCTTGGTTATAATCTATACTGGGACATCAGTTATCCTGATTGGTTTTTTTTTTGTAGTATTCCTCAGTCCCTCTAAATGGTATTCAAGAGGTTCAAGAGGTGCTTGGTTATAATATCTACTGGGACACCAGCTATCCTGATTGGGTTTTTTCGTAGTTTTCCTCAGTCCCTCAAGACAAATAGCAGGAGTGTACCTCAGTTAAGCCACAACCACTTCCAAAGTCATTCCATCTCAAAACCATTAATCTAGCATCCTATCAGATGCTGTACAGTCTCGACACTGGCAGTATCATTAAATAACCCACAAAAAAGAAATCCATTTTCAGAACATGCTTCCATTGTTTCTAGGCATATTTAACAATAATTTCTCGACTGTATTGTTCATATAATGTTAGGAAAAAATTACACTAGCCCAATCTAAGCACAATCTTCAAAATGACTTGGATACTTATATGGCTATTTGGGCAGCCTGTTATTTCTTGAGATGGTAGTTGATAGTTGATTAAGCTACTGTCCCAGGAAAAGGACTGAAGGAAACGCCAAATCATTTCAATTGTGTAAGATTTAATGTGGTTATGAAGAGTTCTCTCTTCTGGGATGTAATGCCATGTAGTCTGTTGAGAGTCAACCATTTGTGAGAAACACATCGCATCCATCTTCAGGGTTCAAGAATAAGCCAAACATGCTTGCCACCTGCTTCCACTCTGACTTCTTGGTTGATTTACGATGGACTGCACAGTGTTGCATCCTGGAAAACAGAGCTCATCAACTTCAATTATGATTAATGGCCCTTAAGCCTGGAATAAAATAAGAAATCTCCTTAATACAAGGCAAGAATGAACATACATAATTTTTACTGTCAACACAGTGGTTAGTCACTGGCTTCCCACTGCGGCAGCCTGGGTTCAATCCTGGGTCTGGCCAAGTGGGGTTTGTGGTGGACAAAGTGGCGCTGGGGTGGGTTTTCTCCGAGTACTTTGGTTTCCCATGCCAATCTTCATTCCACCAAATTCTCCATCATCATAATCACCCAGGGCAGATACAATAGGCCCATCAGTGGCTGCCTTGCCGAGTGGACCCAGTTGGACTCCACCCCCTACTAAGCGAATTTAAAAAAAAATTACTGTCAACACAACAATACTTTTTATTTATTTATTTATATAGCACTCACTACATGTTTTGACATCAAATGGGTCATCTTCAGGTGCTGAAAGTTTCTCACATACTATTACTGAACTGCAATGTTAATATTCCTATTTTTATAAATGGTTCATGCAAGTTAGTTCCTACTGAATTCACAAACTACACAAAACTTAGACTAGACTTTGATTAAAATTAACAATAAAATAAGAATAAAAATCATACATGTAATAAAGTCTTATATATAACAATAGGTTAAACCTAATTTAATAATTAGGTAATCCTAAACCCACAATTTCATATTTAAAAAATATTTCAAATGATCTTTCAAAATGTTATAAGCTGTGAGTAGCTTTGTGTTTGTTATTGCAGTAGACCACGTGTAGGTGTCATCATATTTCTTCTACTGTTTGCTGCATTGGCTTGCTGTGTTAGTATCGTAATGTTACCATTTTCATAGAGAATAGATCCCTCTTCTTTCATGTTGTCGGGAGCCAATGGTTAATGTGTGCTGTTTACAGTATGCGGTGCGTGGTTCATACTACAATATGAATGTTAACATTGCAGTTCAGTAATAGTATGTGAGAAACTTGCAGCACCTGAAGATGATCCATTTGAGGTCGAAACATGTAGTGTGTGCTATATAAATAAATAAATAATAAAGTACTGTTGCACTGATGGTAAAAATTATAAATGTTCATTGTATATAAGCAAGAGGATGCAGTCCTTAAAAACAAGGCAAGAATGTTCAGCATTTAACTGCTGCAGGTTCATGAATACCTAATTTTCTGGTACAGTATCTTCCTTGAAAAGCTGATAGTTACTCAGCTGGCCAGTGAATTCCTGGCTCTTATGGAACCCAAAGATGCAGTATCATGCTCACAAAAGTCTTACACAGTATACTATTTTGAGCCAACTGAGTTCAGTCCATAGTCCATGCCTTCATACCAGACCTCCTCAGGATCAATTTTAATATTATCCTTCCTTCTATGCCCAGTTTTCTTAAATAGTCTCTTCCATAGGAATTTTCCAACCAGAATTTTACAAGAAATGTCTTATTTCTCCCCTACATGCTACATGTTGGTTTACTTCATTCATTACTTCAACATAAGTGAAGAGTACGAATTAAGAAGCTCAGAATTATGGGATTTTCTCCAGCCTCTTGTTATTTCCTCTTTTTTAGAGCCACATATTCTCCTCAGAACTTTATTCTCAAACACCCTCGATCAGGGTTCTTGTTATAATTGTACTACTTTGTATTTACATATGTACCACAGAGTATTAATATTATGTAACATTTTTCAGTCTTTCCACTCAGTTATCTCAAGAAAGTGAAGGCAGCAAGACATGTAGGCAGACATCCTCGGTAAGGATTAATATGAATATAGTTCACAGTCTACATTAAAGGTGATTTATCTTCAGTTAGTTACCGATTTTCAGTATTAGATGAAATGACCCTCATCTATCGTACCTGTGCTCTATTGCAATTAGCAAGAATTATTAATATGAAGATAATTGCTCTTCATAACCGCTGCTGTGAGAATCTCAGATCCTAATTAGTAAGATGATCATGGATTCTGTATCTGTTTAGAGACAACTGTTCAAGTAGAAATATATGAATAATGAAAAGTTTAACATTGCTCTCAGTAAGCAAAAAGGGTCATGAAATGTAGATGACTGCATAACACATCAGAAATGAGTAACTCATGCACAAATATGACATGAGAAAGTGTGGCCTATGTTGTTTCAGAAACATAACCTCAAAGATTCAAACTTACTTGGTACAAAAAACAGAGACATTTCTACTACATATTATTTTATGCCAAATTTGTTCATGGTAATTGTTAAATATTTAACACGTTGCTTTTCAAAATACAAAAAGTTCCATGCCATATGTGTAATGAACAACAACAACAACATTGAGGTCTGGACCTTTCGATCTTTTCCATTCCTCAGTAAGATAGGTTGATCCTTCCAGTGTAACTTCGGGCATTTCATGTGTAAGGATTCTTATAAATTCCTGTTGTCTCAAATTTATTGTACCCATATTGTGGTCTTCAGGGTTATGGCATTGTATGGCTTGGTAGGTAACTACCAGTGTTTCAGAGAAACATATGGCCTCCATCTTCAGGGTGAATTTGATTAAGTAAATGAAAATTAAGAGTAATTGGTTTGAAAGCTGAATTCTTTTCTGTTTATTTTAACAAAGAACCATCCATTTTTGACAGATATTTACCTATATAATCCTTTATGTGTAGTTTAACCTTTTTGTCACACTCTATCTTGTTTTGTTTTTTATATTTTCTTCCCCCAGATTTTTCCTTATCTCCCTTAATTTTGCATAAATGAACAGATATTGAGTTCTGACAGTATTGAATTTGACATACTGTTACTTCCCCCCCACACTTTGTAGATTTTGAAGCTGCCAAAAGACACCAAACATCGTGAACCATTGCAAGAGTTGGATTTCAGATCAAACATTGATGAAGATGGAACATCAACTACCAGCTCAATGACAAAGAGAGTCAGTTTTCATAAAGCTGTGCAAACTAAGTGAGTATTATGTAAATTTTGAGGCTTTCACAGTGGGAATTGTTCCAGTTGTGGGCTTGGCTGCAACACTGAGTACTCTTGTAAGTTTGTACTGACATTTAGGAGGAACATGCTGCCCCCTTGATCAGGGTAGGAAAGTAAACCCAAAATGGAAAAAAATATTATGTGGATGTAAGGAGTGGGGCAGCCAGGGTAGGAGCCCTGAGCAAACCAGCTGGAGTAAGGAGAAAGTTAATGGGAAGCTTGGAACTGTGCAGTCTCTTTCATGGCAATTGCTGTACTTCAGTTTATTAGGAGAACTTAATTTTAAAAGGATTCTTTGAAGAATTTGATTTGTTTCATTCTGGTCCGTCACACTAACAATATTATAAAAGATAAAACAGTTCTGTCCAGAGTGACTGGCGAAGTTTTTATTATTTCAGTTCTTCATGCCCTTACATGTTTTCGTTTGAAGGCAATACCTACTGAAATTGTGAGCTAGACATGTGGAATTTGGTATGGCAGTAGTTTATAAACATACTAGTTATCATGTATGAAATACGGTTTTCAAGTCAGCAAGTATGAGTATGTCAATGGTATGAAACCTTGAGGTTATATTTGACAAATTTAATATATAGACAGAATCTGTACTAATGTAACAAGTTCTTCACAATGATAAGTTAAATGAATTACAGTAATGATAATAATGATAGAGCTGTAGAACTGAGAAAAAAAAGAAGATTTAAGAGCTCTCCTTAGAACTCCTTGTTCATCTGTGGATTGGCATTTCATAATGGGTGTATTCACTTTGCTTAGTGGGGGGTGGAGTCCAACTGGGTCCACTTGGCATGGCGGCCACTGATTGGCCTATTGATTATGATGATGGAGAATTTGGTAGAATGAAGATTGGCAGGGGGAACTGAAGTACTCGGAGAAAACCTGCCCCAGTGCCACTTTGTCCGCCACAAATCCCACTTGACCAGACCTGGGATCGAACCCGGGCTGCCGCGGTGGGAAGCCAGCAACTAACCACTTGAGCTATGGTGCAGCCATAATGGGTGTAGCTCCAAGTGATATTTACATTGTATAAACTTCACATATTTTTTAGCTCATGGTGAGTGTATGTTACATCATGCAGATTAAGGGCCACACCATAGCTCAAGCGGTTAGTCGCTGGCTTCCCACCATGGCAGCCCGGGGTTCAATCCTGGGTCTGGTCAAGTGGGATTTGTGGTGGAAAAAGTGGCACTGGGGCAGGTTTTCTCCGAGTACTTTGGTTTCTCCTGCCAATCTTAATTCCACCAATTGCTCCACAATCACCCTCACCTATCATCTGGGGCTGGTACAATAGGCCAGATGTGGCCACAGTACAAGGGACTTAGTCTCACCCCACTAGCAATACTAATAAAACATAATTGTGCAGATTACACAAGCAGTTTAAATTCTCCCTTGTTAAAATATGAATTTGTAAAAGATTAATTTTTATAGTAATTTTCTGAAAATTGCTTCAAAATTGATATTTACATTTACATTTTCATTGATCCATTGGCCAGCCATATCATCAATACAGTTTCATTGTAACATATTACGAAATACATAACAACCACAGTCATCATACATACTGCCACACAATATGTGAGTGTCTCAACATCATATGATACAAGAACACAGACCAATTAATCATTCTTAACATTTGAGCCCCTTGCATGCTCAACAAATTTGTCAGTAGAGTAAAATGAGTTTGTTTGCAAATAATTTCGTAAAACAAACCTAAATTTATTTTTATCATTTTTTAAATCAGAGATATTTGGCGGCATAGTATTAAATAGTTGGATACCTGAATAATTACCCCTCTCTAATAGGATGATAAATGTGTTGTAGGTACATGAAGGTGGCCATTCCTTCTTGTACTAATCATGTATATACCGAGTTATTGGTTTGAAACTTATCCAAATTATTAACAACAAATGTCATCAATGAAAGCAAATATACACATGGGACTGGTAGTATGTCAAGCTTTTTAAATAGGCTTCTGCAGGCCTCTACAAGTATGAGTTGGGCCCACTCCCATCATTATTCTTATTATTTTCTTTTGTATAACAAAGACCTTATGACTGTCTGATATATTTCCCCAATATATGATTCCATATTTCACCAATGAATGATAATACGCATAATATACTGCTTTAAGATTATTAATATTTAACCCTTCCGCGACGGATAGTATTTAAATCTTTTCCTACCGCCAAACCGACAGGGTATTTAATTATTAAACAGAAAAATTCTCTTATCCATGAAAAACTTAGTAACTCTCGCAAAAATAGGTATATTGAGATAAAATTTTCACAGAAATATTCATAATGAAACGAAGAACAAACTATATATATTTTTAATATAATTATGGTAAATAATATTTTTTTACTCACTCGAACTGCTAAAAGTTGAGTTTGGTGTGGTAATCCTGAAAACACTGGTCAATACATAGCCCAACATCACAATCACTGCACCAGTACACGGTTTCTTTTCTTCTTTTGTTTTTTGTACACACTACACATCGCCTTTGTGGTCTAGCCTTTTTTCCTGATGGGGGAATTTTACTAATAAAATGTCTTTCACGAAGCCGGGGGATGGTGTTATCTAAATGGAAAAACCCTCCCACATATAAATTTGTTGCGCATAAGTGTTTGCTTCCTGAACGATATTGTTTACAAAATCCTCAGTAAAAAATAATAGAAATGTCTGTACTATGTCGAGCACATTCACAGACTGATTTCTCGGCCCCGAATTTTCAGAAAACCGTTCGCGAACGCCATCATAATTATCCATATTTTGCCAAAAATAACTCTCGTCTGAATCCGCCACTGGAACCCTCGCCACTATTTCGTCGTCATCTTCAATACTATGATCTTGGATAGCATCAACTACAGCCTGATCTTCAATTTCATTATCACTGTTTTCACTACTATCCGAATATTCGAACTCACTAACTTCCGAGTCGTGAGCAAGGAGCTCATCTAGTTCATCGTCCTGCAAAACTTTCCTACTTGTAGAGGCCATGGTTATGGCGCGACTGAGAGAAGAATGTGTTATGACATCATAGATTTCTGTATCATTCGAAAGTTTGTTTTCTTAGGTTGCATTTGGTTCCAAGAAAAAAGGACCCTCTTGTTGCTCTTGTTTGACTACTTCATTGTGTCAGCAGACTGTACAGCAACACACTCAAGGAAAACCTTCGTCTGGGGTTTCAGTGAGTGATTCATATAGACAAGCAAAGACCATAGAGTCGAAAGATATATAGTTTTATACGTTTACCTTACTTAGAATTCGAAAAACTTCAATGCAATCTAGGCGCAATGAGACCAAAGTACGAATTATTAAACTAACGATGTAAAATAAAAATACCGTGCTAAAAATTCGTCCAAAATAAATAACACATATACCAATTGAAAGATGAAACCTTAATCTATGTACTCCTGAAAAGAAAATTGGAATATCTTTCCTCGTTTTGTCAGCAACGTCCTCCAAAGCTAACACTGCGCAGGTCGGTGCACTGCACTGATGTCGGTGGCATACGATTATTTAAAGGGTCGGTGCAGCACACGGATGTCGGTGCGGAAGGGTTAAGATAATTTTCACATTAGAAAACCAACTGTGCTGAACTTATGAAGAAATAATCTATATGCCCCTTACAAGTCAGATGGTTGTCAAGCTGCAGACCAAGAAATTTTATAATTTCTACTTATTTCAGCGCTCTGTTAGAAAACAGCGTATGTAGTGGGTAGCTCAAAGCTGCTGTTGGGGTGAATTTTATCATTTCTGTTTTATCCAGATTTAACACAAGTTGATTGTTTTGAAACCACATAAACATGTGATTAAAAACAACGTCCAATTTTATTTTTAAATTATAGTAGTCTTTAGCTTTGCAAATAATACTCGTGTCATCTGCAAACATAATAACTTCACAAATTTTACTTATTTCAAGGGGGAAATCATTTATATATATATTAAACAGTAAGGATCCCAACACCGAACCCTGAGGCACTCCACATACAACAGATTCCCAATTGGAATAATATTTATTATCCATATAATTTAATTCCAGTCTTTGCCTCCTATATTGGAGGTAAGATTTGAACCATTGCAGTAATACAACCTGCACTCCATAGTACTGCAGTTTCTTTAACAGAAGTTCATGAATGACACAATCAAACACCTTGGCTATATCACAAAATATACCAGTTACATACTCTTTTCTATTCCATGCTGTATGTATTACATTGGTTAATTTATATATAGCATCTTCAGTTGATAATCCCTTCTGGAATCCATACTGCTCTGAAAGTAGTATTTTATGTGCTACAATATGATCATTGAGTCTTCTAGAAATTGCTACTTCGAATACTTTTGCAAACCCAGTTACAATAGAAATTTGCCTATAGTTATTTATAACAACCTTTTCCCCTTTTTTGTATCTTGGGTTAATAATTGCATATTTTAATCTTTCTGGATGTAGACCCATGGTTAATGACTTATTAATTACATAAGTTAGAGGTTTACTAATTTTTGTTGTCTGCACAGTTTTATTATTTTATTAGTTATTTAATCATACCCTGAAGAATTTTCCAATTTTAATTTGTTAACTAAGTTAATTGTTTCCTCTTCTGCGACTAAATTAAGATTCATATCTGGAAAACCATTAGGGAAATGGGTATGCAAGTATGACATTGCAGTATAAACATTAGTTTTCTTCATATTAAGATTTTCTGTTATTGATGTGAAATATTTATTAGAACTATGAGCTCCTTCTTCAGCATTTATTTTTTACTATTATTTTGAAAATTTTTGGTAAATGTTCTGTGTTATTATTGTTTTTCCTCCCTGTATCAGTGTCGATAATTTTCCTAATTAGTTTTTATTTTGTTTTCAGCTGATGTAATTAACTGATTATAATATTTCCTTTTATCTTCTCTTATTACTGTTCTTAATATCATGCAGTATGATTTATAGTTTGATTTAAACAAATAGTTGTAATTGCTTCTGTTGAGAATGTACAAAGATTCCTTCTGTCTGCAGGAGGTACGTATTCCACCTGTTATCCAGCCATTATCATTGTGTTTATTTGTTACATTTTGCTTCGGAAAGTATGACTCATAGACAAGTAAATAGTTGTTTAAAAATGAACTGAATATTTCATTTACATCATTGTTTATATTTTCCCACTTTTCATTAGATAGTTTACTAAGCAATTGTGCAATTGAATCTTTATTTACCAATCTTATTAAGCAATTGTGCAAATGAATCTTTATTTACCAATCTTGTTGTGATTCCCTGCATTTATTCTTCTCCATGTTACTGATATTTTTTAGTACAAGACACTGTTCATTGTGATCCGATAGTCCATTACTAATAGAGATAACATCATATGAATTTATCCTTGCATTATCAATAAAAAATATTATCAATTGCAGAGCTTTTGGTCTCAGTTATTCTACTTTGGAGCTGAACAGAATGAAATATATTATATGATTGCAACAGCACTAGTAGCTGTGTTTTATGTGTTGTCTCTTCTAAAAAATTTACATTAAAATCACCACATATTAAAAATTTAATGTTTGGTTTATAGAGTAATTTGGGTACTTTATCCAACTTGTTTACAAAGTACTCAAAATTCCCACAAGGTGACCTATGTATACACAGTATTAATAAGTTAGTTTTAGCTATTGAAATCTTAAGTGAACAAATTTATATGTTCCTTTCATCACATAACTGTGCCAGATAAATAGCAGTAAATTTTATATCTGATCTTATATATATACAAACACCTCCTCCTTGATGAATCATGCGGGAATACTTTGTTCCCAAAACGCAATTCTGGAAATTGCTGTATGATAATTTCTGGTCTGACATGTGATGCTCAGATAAGCAAATTAAGTTTGGATTTATATCATTATTTTCTATTTAACACTTTAATTCATCAATTTTGCTACCAAGACCTCTGATATTTTGATGTATAAGAATTAAAGAGTCTTTAGTATGATTAAACTTATTGAGGAGCAATATATTTTATTTTGAGTTTATTCCCCATAAAAAATCCTCATTTCTAGTAGGTGGTTTTCTTTTCCTTCTATTACCATGTTCTCTTTCTTGATCAAGGATTGTAACATGGTTATCCATATTCCTTATAATTTCTTCTCTTTTTCCATCCTTTACATCATACTTGCGCGTGCTATTACTTTGGGCTGTTTTAATAAAATTTATTGCTTCACTAGATTGTTCAATATGTTCAATATTATTGACTAATAACTTTTAACATCATCGACTGAAATAGCCACGTATGAACTAGTTAATGAAGTATTAAATGCTTTGAACAATGGTATGTTTGTTGGTGGTATCTTTTGTGATCTCAAAAAGGCCTTTGATTGTGTTAATCACGATATATTACTATCAAAATTGGAATTTTACGGCGTGACTGATAAGGCTGGTGCTTTGATTAAGTCGTACCTTGTTGATAGGCATCAGAGAGTTGTTGTGAATAACGGTCTGAGGTACTCAGAATGGGGGGAAATTAAAAATGGAGTCCCCCAAAATTCGATTCTAGGTCCTTTGTTGTTTTTGTTGTATATAAATGACTTGCCCTATATCATATCGAACAAGTCCAAACCCGTTATTTTTGCTGATGATACTAGCATAGTCATTACTAACCCTAGGTCTGCTGATTATGAATTCAAGGCTTCTTTAATATTTAAAAACATAAATGATTGGTTTCAAGATAATTTATTGTCATTAAATTTTGAGAAAACACATTTTATCGAATTTCTGACAAAGAACCGCCAGCCGATGGATATTCATATTGATGATGATGATCGGCTTGTTAACACTACAAATACTAAGTTTCTGGGGCTTATTATTGATAACACATTGTCTTGGAATGGACATGTGGATTGGTTAATGTCTAGATTGGGCTCTGCATTTCTCGTTCCATCAAATCTCCATAGGCATTACCACCAGTAAAGGTACAATAGGACATATGGAGGATTTAAGACCACAGAAACTGTTTTCAAGACTAATTATACTGTCATATTATTATCTCTGTATTACTATATTATTATTATTATTATTATTATTATCATCATTTATTATAATTTGGCATACTATTTGTGTATTATTATATTCTTATTACTATTTAGTATTAGTATTAATATTAATCTTTGACTTGTCCCATATCATGTATAATGATTCATGGATGAAATAAAATTGAATTGAATTGCATGTTATGCGATTAGAGCCCTAAAATCTTACATGTCTCAGGGTACATTTACTTTTCTTACTTCCATTCAATTATGACCTATGGTTTGGTTTTTTGGGGTAATTCCCCTTATAGTATACATATCTTTAGGTTGCAAAAAAGGGCGATTAGAATTATAATGAACTCTGGGAACAGAGATTCATGTAGGGAATTGTTCAGGGAACTGGAAATTTTACCCCTTCAATCTCAGTATATGTTTTCTCTTGCAATGTTCGTGGTTAATAATAAAGATCAATTTAAGTTAAATTCTGAGTTATATAATAGGAATACAAGATATAATAATAAATTCCATTATCCTATATGTAAGTTGACTGTATTTCAAAAAGGAGTGTATTACCATGGTATTAAGGTTTTTAATTGGCTTCCTCCTAATATAAGGAACCTGGCTCAAGATGTTAAACATTTTGAAATTGTTTTAAGAAGATTTTTGTTGATTGTAAATTTGACTCCAATAATTAACTGTGATCTATTATGGTATTGAATAATGTAATGAGTTTTATATTGTTATTTCTATGTAGTGTATCAATGACTAATTCCTTATCCTATATGTAGTGGATTTATGGAATGTAAATAAATGAGATGAGATGAGAACATGATACATAACCGTTTTTAATGAAATGCCATTCTTCCACAGAGAGTTCCATGTAGAGGAGGCTGTGACAGTGTGGGGATCAACTTATGAGGAAACTTTCAAAGGTTCTGATTCATCTCATCATTCTGACAACAGCAGGTAAGAAGACTGTACTGTTGCTGTATAAAAGGTGTGTTGAATACTGGCAAGTGTTATGTTGGCAACTCTCTAATGTTAAAATATAATGCTAAAGTTGGCAACGTCATAGTAAACAATTTTCAATAATAGACTGCGCTACATGTGCTGTTCCTAATTTCTCTATTGTTATGTGTTACCATGGTTATGTGTGTGAATATATTGTAACGTGTTTAGGTTACTGAAGACGCCGTTTGGGTTGTTAATTGGTTTATTTAACAACCTACAAGTCTCGGCTACAATTAATTATAACACTGTTACGGGTTTTCACAATTTACAACCCCTATTCAATATTCAATTCACTCTATTGTCAGTAGTCTACATGTTTTTATAACGCGGGAGTTATACAAGTGTAACTGTATCACACACTCCCAATTATTACTCGGTTATCACGAACTATCACTGATTCTCACACATGCATCCGTAACTCGTAACTTGCCGCTGGCTAGATTCCAACTCAACTGTCTTCATAGGCAGTGTAGCTCTCTCATATAGTTGCAGTGCCCGCCTGTTACGCAGTGGGTACCGCTGTTGCCTGTTACCCATGTCACAGCTGCGTTGCATGTTATGTCACTATGGGGAGAGGGGCGGGGTGTTGACTCGCCTATTACCGTAGTAAGGACAGCGCTACGATGCCGCCACGTACCGCTGGGAGGGGTCCTCCATTGCGCAACATGTCACAATGTATAGAACACTTTTTGTGTATCAAAAGTTAGTCTTAATAAAGCAGGGTTAGATTGAACACTGATTCTTACTTATCATTCGATCCACGTAGAAGTGAAAATAACAGCAAGATGCACTGTACAATTAATAATAGCCAACAGAAGACTAATGACAGTCTAAAGAAGTTTTGGAGTTGGAATGTACTTGGAAAAAAACCTAATTGATTGATTATGATGATGCTGGCAGATCTTATCATTTGCAACACTTGGTATTATTTACAAATAAAGAGCACCAGTAACTTATTCTGAAGGTGCATTACACATCCCTTTGGGATAAGATCTTGGTAGCAGATCCAGCTACTTACTTACTGAGGCTATATTAAATAGAAATTGTAATGTGCTACACCCGCCCCACACGCTTCACTTCGACGCGGTGTATGCCTCGACTAAATTCAGCGGAATGAGTCTTATATCCCAGGGGTACACGGGTGTTGGCTCGCTTACGTCGTTTTTTTGGATGCGGGCTCGATCGGTTAACCCCCTAGCACAGGTTCCACATGAACACCCTCACTCCCTGGCCTCTACCCACTAACTCACCGGCTTCCACTCACTAACTGACTCCTTACCCCCGCTGCTGCTTCCAGAAACCACGTTCTTAGCCATCTCGAACTTTCCACTGGGAGGTTTTCATGACCAAATACACGGACCCCTTCCGGTCTGCACACCTTCTAGAAGTTTCTCGAAGCTTCGATCCACAGGTCCTCCACCCCCACAGGCACGGACGAAAGAAGGTATACGTACTCCCCCTTGAATGCAATGGACTCACCAACCTCCCTTCTGTCCCTCGCAACAAAAGGCCAATTCAGAGGACCATGATCCCTCCGGGGCATCTCATTTCTACAGCTAAACTTAACCGTTACTTACAAACAAATAAGACTTTCCGTGAAGGATGCGTACGGTTACAGTGCATAGGATGTTGGCCTGTCAGCTATTCCATGAGTCCAAACACTCACAGTAAAGATAATGCGATGAGCATGTGTTCTTCCTGCTGGTACAGGTGACCAGTTTGTTGCAGGTTTCAGATAATCTCCCTGTACCATCACCACCATCACTATCATCATTGGTAAGCTGCCCATCTTGAGCCATAGCCTTCCTTAGAAGATTCTGCCGGACTTGTCTATTCCATTGTGAATGAGACCACGGATTTTGCAACAGTAATTTTTATACAGAACAAAGTCATCAGCCTTCCATCCAACCCCCAACCTGGAGGACCAGGTCTCTGTATTTATGTCCCCCAGTGACAGGGTGACCCAGTTATACCACCAGGCATGGGGTTCCCATTTTGTTGCTTCCTATAACTCGCAGGGCTATGGTGAAGGTATTCTAACCTGCCTCCACACAGGATAGATCATCCTTTAATAATTTTATTTTACTGTGTGCTAATTCTGTGTTCCAGTTGTCCATCGTCCAGTAAAGTTCCTGGTTTTAATCACCCACTATGCAGCAACATAAATTCACAGTTCCTTGTGGAGTCACATGCAGTGAAAGGAAGGGAAGGAATGAAGCAGCATGGGAATGTTCTTTGTTTTCATGCAGTAAACAGTGATACAGTTGACAGTGATGATGAGCAGTGCTTCTCTCCGAATGAGATGCATGTCTGGAATCAGTCAAATGATATGGACTTCACAGAACCGCTTGATGTTAATTTTCCAAATTTTAATCATACAGACTTGTTAGCTAATAATGAAATTGATCTGACAGAACCTCTGGCATGCCACATTGATTTTGATCAAAAGTGGCATTCTCAGTTGTCTCCAGATTTTCCTCGTGAACTGAAAACAACAGGAGAAATAGATATGACGTTGACAGAAACTTTACCTGATGTATGTTTTGGATTCAAAGACCATGTAAAATCACAAGAAATGTCAAAGAAGAGCTCCAAAACCTTTGTTAAGAAAGTGAATATAGACACTGCAGAACCAGAGATTTTAATGAAAGTGTCAAGCAAAGGTCAAGTGAAGGATTCAGAAGCAAACAGTGATTATTTAATTGACAGAAAGACACATACAGGAATACTCACTCAAATAAATAACAGCAACATTAGTTTCACTGAAGTGGTTTCATGTAACAAAAATAAATATGAACCGAATAACACTGATAAAGTCTTTCAGTTGCCACCACATTGTGACACTAATGTAGATCGGCATGAAAGTTCTGTAATTAATCAAAGCATGGATTTAACTGAAACTTTAGTAGAAATGAAATCTCTTAATAGTATGGAAATGTTCAAACGATCTGTGCAATGTGACAGAGGATATGACAGACTACAACCAACTGGCAGGACATGTATTCATGCCAATGATTTTGGTACCCCAAATCCCCAGGGCTTCACAAAAATAATGGATTCCATTGAAAAGAAAATGGTAAATATTTCTAGCTTGTCAGCAGAGAGCTCAGGAAATACAGAAAGCATGTGTTCAAACAGTGAGTGCTTGCACGAAGGCAGTAAAGTAAATGTTCAAAACACAGGGTCCACTAAACCTGTTAGGAATATTGTCTGTTCTGCATTTACCAGCAAAACATATATGCACGATATTACTGAAAATGTTCAGAATTTTGGATTAATAAATTCTGATGGAGAAACATATATGAATAAAATTGTAGATAGTCCAACTAGATGTACAGAGGTCAGTGACGTGGAATTCATAGATGAATTGAAACAGAAAGAGTTTGACAGTGCAAAAACTTCCAGTCAAATTACAGATGTTGGTGACATGGAACTAACATGCAATATAAACCACAAGAATATCCATATACCATTTAGAAATTCTGCACATAACAGTTATATGCAAATAAGAAAGAATCATATATCAGATCCAATACAGGTATCCAATACTGCTGCTGTTGTCGATGAAATGGAATTCACAAGCATAATAAAATTGGAAGAAACATGTAATTCAGGAAATGTGAACAGGTCTGTCAGTGACATGGAACTAAGAAATGAAATTAGACAGAACCAAATCTCCAATCCATTAGCAGCATCCAGTCATAATCATAAAGTTGCTGATATGGAACTAACCAGTGCAAAAAAATGGGAAGACACATGTAATTCAGGAGATATCCACAGGTTTGTCAATGGCATGGAACTGACAAACAAAACAAGACAGAAGCAGACATCCAATCCAATAGCAGTGTCCAGCCATATTGGTAATATCACTGATATGGAATTAACGAGTGGAATAAATTTGAAAGAAACGGTCCATCCAGGAGATGTGAACAGGTTTGTCAGTGACATGGCACTAACAAACCAAACAAGACAGAAGCAGACATCCAATCCAATAGCAGTGTCCAGCCATATTGGTAATATCACTGATATGGAATTAACAAGTGGAATAAATTTGAAAGAAATATGTAATCCAGGAGAGGTGAACAGGTTTGTCAATGACATGGAACTGACAAACAAAACAAGACAGAAGCAGACATCCAATCCAATAGCAGTGTCCAGCCATATTGGTAATATCACTGATATGGAATTACCAAGTGGAATAAATTTGAAAGAAACAGTCCATCCAGGAGACGTGAACAGGTTTGCCAGTGACATGACACTAACAAACAAAACAAGACAGAAGCAGACATCCAATCCAATAGCAGTGTCCAGCCATATTGGTAATATCACTGATATGGAATTACCAAGTGGAATAAATTTGAAAGAAACAGTCCATCCAGGAGACGTGAACAGGTTTGCCAGTGACATGACACTAACAAACAAAACAAGACAGAAGCAGACATCCAATCCAATAGCAGTGTCCAGCCATATTGGTAATATCACTGATATGGAATTACCAAGTGGAATAAATTTGAAAGAAACAGTCCATCCAGGAGACGTGAACAGGTTTGCCAGTGACATGACACTAACAAACAAAACAAGACAGAAGCAGACATCCAATCCAATAGCAGTGTCCAGCCATATTGGTAATATCACTGATATGGAATTACCAAGTGGAATAAATTTGAAAGAAACAGTCCATCCAGGAGACGTGAACAGGTTTGCCAGTGACATGACACTAACAAACAAAACAAGACAGAAGCAGACATCCAATCCAATAGCAGTGTCCAGCCATATTGGTAATATCACTGATATGGAATTACCAAGTGGAATAAATTTGAAAGAAACAGTCCATCCAGGAGACGTGAACAGGTTTGCCAGTGACATGACACTAACAAACAAAACAAGACAGAAGCAGACATCCAATCCAATAGCAGTGTCCAGCCATATTGGTAATATCACTGATATGGAATTACCAAGTGGAATAAATTTGAAAGAAACAGTCCATCCAGGAGACGTGAACAGGTTTGCCAGTGACATGACACTAACAAACAAAACAAGACAGAAGCAGACATCCAATCCAATAGCAGTGTCCAGCCATATTGGTAATATCACTGATATGGAATTACCAAGTGGAATAAATTTGAAAGAAACAGTCCATCCAGGAGACGTGAACAGGTTTGCCAGTGACATGACACTAACAAACAAAACAAGACAGAAGCAGACATCCAATCCAATAGCAGTGTCCAGCCATATTGGTAATATCACTGATATGGAATTACCAAGTGGAATAAATTTGAAAGAAACAGTCCATCCAGGAGACGTGAACAGGTTTGCCAGTGACATGACACTAACAAACAAAACAAGACAGAAGCAGACATCCAATCCAATAGCAGTGTCCAGCCATATTGGTAATATCACTGATATGGAATTACCAAGTGGAATAAATTTGAAAGAAACAGTCCATCCAGGAGACGTGAACAGGTTTGCCAGTGACATGACACTAACAAACAAAACAAGACAGAAGCAGACATCCAATCCAATAGCAGTGTCCAGCCATATTGGTAATATCACTGATATGGAATTACCAAGTGGAATAAATTTGAAAGAAACAGTCCATCCAGGAGACGTGAACAGGTTTGCCAGTGACATGACACTAACAAACAAAACAAGACAGAAGCAGACATCCAATCCAATAGCAGTGTCCAGCCATATTGGTAATATCACTGATATGGAATTAACAAGTGGAATAAATTTGAAAGCAGCATGTCATTCAGGAGACATGACACTAACAAACAAAACAAGACTGAAGCAGACATCCAATCCAGTAGCAGTGTTCAGCCATATTAGTGATGTCACTAGTATGGAATTAATAAGTGGAATAAACTGGAAAGAAACATGTACACCAGAAGATGTTAATAGGCATGTAAATGACATGGAACTAACAAACGACACTGGGCAGAATCAGGTCTCCCATCCAGTAGCAGTAGCCAGTCATATTGGTGTCACTGATGTAGAATTAACAAATGAAATAAAGTGGAAAGAAATCTGTAATACAGCTGATGTGAACAGGCATATCATTGACATGGAACTAATAAATGAAAGCAGGCAGGAGCGAACCTCCAGGCCAGCAGTGGTGTTCAGTCAGGGCGGTAATGTCACTGATATGGAACTGACCAGTGGAATAGTACTGAAAGAAATATGTAACACAGATGTTAACAGATATCTCAATGACATGAAACTAACAAGTGTAAGGAGAGAGGAGCAAATGTCTGCTAAATCTACAAATGTGAGCAACTTGGAATTAAGAAATGAAGTAAGACAGAAGATCTTTAACCGGTCAAGAGTAACTGATCTATCTAAAGATGCCATTGGCATGGAATTAAGTGAAGTAAATCAAAAAGCAATCTGTAATCAGTCACTTATGATCAGTGAATGTGACAGCCATGCAAAGGCAGAAAATATTGATGACACACAAACATGGAAGGAAAAGCCCAGAGTACCATTTAATCACACCTCAAATAAAGACTGTATAAATTCATCAGAAGAGGAACAAATGGGTGATACAGCAGATGTGTCTCATTTGCTGAAGTCTTGTAACATGAATCCAGTTTATAATGTTAAAGCACTATATAGTAATGATTTGGAGAAAGTCACGCAGCATTGTGAACCTGCAGCATGTATCAGTGTAAGTGGAGACAGGGCAAGTCAGTCAGATTATGTAGAAGCTGAAACTTCTCTAAAACAAGCCAGTTCCTCTAAACAAACTATAGTACAGGTACTTGGAAGAACTGAAAAGTGTAAAGCAAAGGACAATTCAGTTACTTTATTTAAGCAGACTGATAGTACATATTACTTCCCACCTTCTAAAGTAACACATCCAAATACTGATGGAAGATGTAGTGAACAGACAGGATCTGTGCTTGATGTGAAAAGAGAAAATGCATCAGAAAATTGCAGCAGTATGGAGCTTAATGTTGAGACTTCAGTTCCAGCTGTTAGTTTAAACTTGAATATTCCTCTGAATGTTAAGGAATTAGGGAAAAGATCCCAAAAATGTGATATGAATGTATCACATTTGGGTCAGAAATTGGTGAATGAAATTATTCAAAAGACTGCTGATGAATCAAGTCTCTTACATGACAGACATGTCTCAGAGGATTCAAATACTTCATCAGACAAGGTATCCCAAGTTTCTCATACATCTAGAATGGATAATGGAGTCATTAAAGAAAACTTGAGTATGCAACTATTGAGGGAGGCAAAAACTTACACAGGTTGCACTACTGGAACAGCTAAGAAATTATCAGTAGAGTATGACATTGGAGGTAATGCTGCATCCCACAATAACCAGCAGTATGCAACAAAAGGAATTCCAGATAAAATATGCACACAAGAGAATTCAACGGAAAATATGCAAATGTTGAAGAGCAATGCAAGGGATTCATTTATATTGGGGGAGGAATTGGATGATAAACAAGGATGGACAACTAACCAGCTTACCTTGAATGAATATCTTGAACCTAGTGACCTACATGTGAGAATGAGAACACCACTGGAAATACAAGGAAATCAAATTATGGAACAAGTGAATAGTGCAACACCAATGAAGTCTAAAGAATATGGTGTGATGAAAGGAAATCTAGATTGTTCACAACTTCAGAGTACATTAGCATCTATGCCAGATGAAATGGAACTGAGTATTATCAAAGATTTATCACATGAAAGTAATGAATCTTACAATAAACTTGTTGAGAATGTCAGAATAGCAGATGAGATCATCAGAGAAAAAACGTTTATGACAGATGAATGTGATCTGCTTGATAATAGCCAATGTGCCCAGCAGAATTCTGAAGAAGGAACATCACTGTTACAAAAATTGAGCAATATGGGAAACATTATAAACGAATTGGTTACAAGGAAAGAGGAAAGTACTAAACATTTGGAGTTAAAAACAGTCACAGGACAAGAAAAATGTAATCTGGATGAGAAATTTAAGCCTTCTATCAAACAAACGGATGAACAGATGAAACCAAGGAAACTAAGGATAAATCAAAGTGAAGATGTGACCATATCTTCTTTGGAAGAACAGATTAAGGCGGAAGAACTAAGGTTAGTGATATCCATGCAATGTGTTTGATATCGTTGCTTGGCATGTCTATAACTCGAGTGAAAAATGATTTAAAGATCATATTTAGTTGCATAATTGTGTTCTTCCATGGAATTAACCATTCATAAACATTGGTGCTCTGAATTGCACACAAACGCATATATGAGTAGAAAGACAAAGACAAAACAACTCTGTCCAGTGTGACTATTGAAGTTTTTACTACTCGAAAACTTAACACCCTTACATGTTTCGGTCCCTATAGACCATCATCAGATGGTGTTAAGTTTTCAAGTAGTAAAAACTTCAATAGTCACACTGGATGGAATTGTTTTGTCTTTGTAAGTGTTAGTGTGACAGACCAGAATGAAACAAATCAAATTCATATGAGTATTTTCGCCAATTATGGAAAAAGAGTACATAACTGAGTTAAATATTGCCTGTCTTAAAATATCTTTATGGGTAAATCATATCTTGAATAGGCAACCTTACAGAGTCCTGTTATTCAGTGAGATCTCCAGCATAGTGATTCTGTTCCTATCCTGTGTTGAAAATAGAATCGAGTAATTTTCTAACGATATAACGATTTGTATCACTATTTGATGATATGCAAACCCAAAGATGTTTTAGACACAGTATACTATACAGGGTTTGCCTAAAAGAAATAGACACTTTCAAAGTTTTACAGAAAGAAGAGTTTTCATAGCATGGCCAAGATACTTATATGGTTTGAAAAGTACGCCCTGAAATTTGCATGGGTACACCATTTTACGGGATACAGCACAAAAAACGTTCTCTTTAGGTGAATCCCTCATATGCTCTACTACAGCTCTCGGGTTTTCAGTTCCTCATATATGAACGTTGTGTTTGTTCACTGTACCGCTAATGTGGAACGTTGATTTGTCACCGAAAACTAGCCGGTTAAAGAAATCATTACTTCCTTCATTCCATTGTGCATGTCCATACAGAATGAGTGACAGAGGATTTTGTCATTTTCACTGAAGTTCTGCAATAATTGCAACCAGTAAGGGAACTTTCGTAAACGTTTACGCAAGGTATTCCACACAGTCTTTTGTGGAACTTGAAGTTCTAAACTTGCACGTGTTGACTATTTTGGGCTGCGCGTATAAGTTTCACGAACAAGAGCCATTTAAACTATTTCTTTTAGGCTAACCCTGTATTTACATGTATACAGATTACATTCCTGTTTTGTAGTATAACATATTTATTTGTATGTCCTGTACACAAGTAAAGCTATCCCTGTAACAGGCCGTGAAGGCCCATAGGGTTGTGAGACGTTAAGGGTCCCATATTACCTTGACATTCGGCTTAAAGATGGCGGTAAGGTTGTCAGCCTTACGCCCCAGCCGCGCTTCACTCCCCAGGAAAATTATTTAATTAATTCCTGGTACTCATTTCTGTTAGAGGCTGAGTAAACCCCAGGGCCTAGTGCGGCCGGAAGGATTAGGTCAATTAAAAAATCCAATGACCTCATTGGGACTTGAACCCGCGATCTTCCGGCTTGTAGCATAGTACCTTATGCTACGCTACAAGCTGGAAGGTCGCGGGTTCAAATCCCGATGAGGATAGCTTTGCTTTTTTTTTTTCTTTTATGTCCTGTACACATCTGTGACAATTTGTTAATTAACAAATTCTTGTTTCACTTCAACTTAATTGTTTTTTCAGCTGGAATAATATGATATATATTGTCATGTAGTTTATTTTCATATAACACTTCTTTTCTTTCTTCCACTCTTGATGCCAGCTATAGCTATTCATATATCACTAACAAGGCCTTATTTCACAGGTCTGGTCATGTATGGAGCATTAAAGACATAAGTAATGCCCTTTGGTCCTTTCAATTCTTATACAAATCACTGACGCTTATTCTGAAACTGAATCCGTGTGAGATGAAGGATAGTGGTAAAGTTGTAACGGATATCCAGCTGATTTCACATGCTACTGGTGGGTAATATGTCCAAGTACATAAGTACTTAATTTCAATGCATGATAAATATTCAGGTATATTCATATTATATTTTTTGGTTTCAGAGAAGGCTGATCCCCTTGTTATATTTGTTCATCACGTTCTTCTGCGCAAGTTTCAAACTCAAGCATTGGAATCAATGTGCAGGACCACTCTGGATGTTGTTAAAGTCTTGGAAACAATCTCTGCAGAAGTTAAGAAACTCAAAATATTCGTGAAAGACATTATTGAATTGGAAACATTGGACATGCTACGGATAGAGAACACATGGTAAACGTAACAACTTCGCACATTTAGCTTGATTGTACATCAGTTGCACCGTAAAAGTAGCTAACTGAACAGCATTGCTTTAGGTCAAGGGTCACCAAACTACGGCCCGCGAAAGATTTGTTCAGATATGCGCCAATTGAACTAATTTTCCAATGAGTACTGGTAAAAAGAAAATACTTGCTCATAGATTTCAAATTCATTAATTAAGATTGTTTAAAATATATTGATATTTTATATTATGTTAATATTATTCACAATTTTACTAATTCTGGACCGTATACTGCGC